TTTAAGTCTTTTTTTTTTTTTTTTTTTTTTTTTTGGTTGGTACCGCAATGAATTTGATTGGTTGTTTTAGTTTACCACTTATTTACCAAGTGATATAATGAATTTGCTCTAGCTCTTCCTTAAGTATCCTTCATGACTTATGCCATGGAAGTTTCTAAGTTGGGTTGGAACGGCAGATGGGAATTGGGAAAGAAAGAGAAATGGAAAAAGTGGTTCTCTTTGGCCTCAATCTTCCAAGACATGGTGGCATGAGGATCACACTAATGACAACAAAACTGTGGATATTTTTTCTCTCACAAAGAAATAAAGAATAGATTGAAAAGTGATACAAATCGGTCTAAAAATATTAGAAATTGGTTTGAATATAATTATTTAGACCGTTACCAATCTAGATAATAGGTCTAAAAAAACATGATCTGAATGAGATTACTTTCAGACGACCAAAAACTCAGTTTGAATAAAAAATATTTTTAGACTGATATTGGTCTGTATATAGGCCAACATTTGGTCCAGTGATGAATGAGCTTAAAAAAAAATAAATTTATTTATTCAATATTAAATTTTATTAATTTCCAAAGAATACAAATAAATTTAAAAAAATTTAAAAAAAAAAATCATTTGAGGCGTAGAGTGGAGATGAATGAGCTTAGATTGTAAGATTTGCGCTAAAAGTGCTGCATTTCAACCAAAAAAAAAGAAGAAGGTGAAAATGCAAAAAAAAAAAAAATTTTAAAAGCAACAACACATTTTCGGCATCTAACTTGCCAAAAAATCATACCCTTGTCTTTGTAGATAATAAGCAGATGATGGAGGAAGAAACAAGTGCAGAAAATGAGCTTAGATTGTAAGATTTGGGCTCAAAGTGCTACATTTCAACAAAAAAAAAAAATAGCAACTAATTTCCGGCATCTAACTTGCCGAAAAATCACCCTTACCTTTGTAGATAGCAAGCAAATGATGGAGGAAGAAACATATGTAGAAAATGGTGAAAGAAGGGAGGAAAATGAGAAGTCCAAATTGGAAAATGGGAAAGAGGCGAAGGGATGTGGAAGAAGAGTAGTTTACAAAGCATCTCTGCAAATTGAGTTTAATGGTTCGAAAATTGGCCAAAAGCAGACCCAACATCAAATCAAGGGCAACATGTAGGCCTGGTAAATGGGCGGGTTGAGTCAGGTTCGGGTTGGGTTAACTCGGGTGATGGGTTATACGGGTTGTAAAAATCCAACCCTAACCCGACCCTAACAAGTTATGGATTAATCAGCAGGTTGACCTTATTTTCATTCTTTATAATTATTTTTATTAATTTTTTTATATACAAATGAAATTATATATATCTAAATCTAATTAAAATATTGTAACTCATTGATACCAAGCATTTTATAGTCTTAACCAGAAATATTTAAATTAAAAAAAATCATAAAATTATAAATAATAATAAGTTGATTAACAATATTAAACTTAAAAAATTTAAATTTCTTGAAAAATAAAATTTTAATTTTACAATTATCTTGAAATATTATCAAGGAGTTTAAGTCCTTTTTTTTTTATGATGAAATTGTTCTTCCAAGAATATCTTTCACTAAATTATTATGTTTATATCATAGTATCATATCTTTAATATTTTTAATTGCATTATCATTTAATTCATAATATTTGGTAATTAGATCAAACCCTCATAATTTCTAGAGAAAGAAGAAATTAAGATTAGTAAACACTCAAAATAAGTTCAAAACCATTAGAGTAATGGAAATGGGGTTGAAGAGAAAGAATTAATAAAAAGAGTTACCAATAAGAAAATTAATTAAAAATAATAAGTATAATATTTTTTAAAAAAATAATAATGAATAAAACAAACGGGTTAACCCATCAACTCACGGGTTGATCCTAACTTGACCCGTTACCCGTACAGGTTAATATTACGAGTTATCTATAGGTTATGGGTTGAAATATGTAGATCCAAACCCATTTTTTACGGGTTGAGTTAGGGTCGGATTAATGGGTTGGGTGAATTTTTGCCGCTCATGTCTTGGCAAGGTTTTCCAGACCATTCTCAATAATAATAATAAAAAAAAGCAGCAGAGCAGAAAGTCCAGACCAATATTGGTCTGGACATATGGGGAAAAAAGAAGAAGAAGGAAGCGCTATCTTGTGACATTCATTATTTGCAATTTTTCCAGACCGCTTCTGGCTTGCATATATGCAAAATGAATGCAACTCAAATGCCATGTACAAGATTAGAAATTGTGTTCTAATATTTCAGAGCATGTTGGTCTGGAAATCTGAAAAAAAAACCACTGCTGCACTAGCCTTGCATTTATTTTTTTCCAAAGAAAATATTCAGATCATAATCGGTCTGAAAATTTTTTTTATGGGTTTCACTATATTCCCGCCAACAATTTTCAAATCGATTATGGTCTGAATATCGAAAACTCATATTAATTTCCTCATGAATCAATATTCAGACCAATAATGATTTGAAAATTTATTTTTTCAGACAAACATAAATTGATTTGAATATCAACAATTTCTAGTAGTAAAAGTTGCTTCTACATACAATAGCTCTTTTAAGTTGTTTCTCATATTCATATCATACATGATATAGTCTTTAATATGTTAGTAATGTCTATTGGTCATTTTACTTGTCTTATTGTGTATAGTGAAGAAAATTTAATTTATTTGAATGCATTATGTTAATGTGGAGGACTACTTTTAAGATTACCCGGGAAAAGGTTAATTGGTCTCTAGATTATGCAAGTTTTGAAATTTCTTTATAAATTCTCCATATCATGTAAGAATGACTTGTTTTTGGAAGATGGTAATTGGTGTGGGTTATCTTTAAAGTTTAAACTAATATAAACAAAATTAGGGGTTACGAATTTTTAAGTGGACTTGTTAAAAAAAAAAGTAAGAATACTTATAAAACTAATAAAATATTTTTAATAAATTAACATGGAAAGAGAATTTATTAATAATATTTAAATAATTTTATGGGTATTTTTTAAATAGTTAAGTAATAATTTTTTTCAAGTAGTAAAAATAAAATATATTGTGTTTTAATAACAAAATATACAAGTTAAAAGATAGATTAATGGTTCGAAGTGATTGTCCCTTATGATAAAAAAATACAATTTATATATCATATAATGTTAACAAAAATGTGTTTTTAATTTAAATTTAAAAAATAAAATTTATATTTAAAATTTATCGAAGTCTCTTCGGTAAAACACTTCTTTATGTAAATTTATTAATAATATTTTAGTGTCAAAACCATAAGTGCATTCCAATATGATCCATAAAAAAAAAAAAAAAAAAGAGAAAGAAAGAAAGAAAGAAGAAGGAACACCCTTCTATATGACCCCACTCATGGCTGGACTGAATTGAAAGTTTGGAGAAACCCCACATTGACCAAGTCCTCAGTCACATTGAGAACTTTCAAAATCGTGTTAAATACAACTGCTATGTACAACTCATAGATAAAAAAAAAAAAGATATCAAAAGATATTAAAAAAAATTACATAAAATATAAACAAACAAAAAATCCATACCTTTTACCATAGTGAGCAGTTTTACCGTCTGCCTTACTCAAAATTATTTAAAAGTTACTTTAATTTTTAAAATTTTCTTTAATAAATTTTAAATTTTTTGAGTGAAGATTTTACTTTTTAAATAAGTTATTTTTTAAGTTTTTGAAAAATATTCTTTAATAAGATACGTAGAACTTAGTTATTTCCTTACGAACTTGTTGTTAAAGTCATACAAATAATATAATAATTATATCTATATTGATTTATTTTATTAATTTATAATATCTTTAATTAATTAATTATAATATTTGAAAATATTAATTTATTAAATAATAAATATTAATTATTTAAATAATTATTAGGTATTTTTACTGGTGAGACATTATCTTTTGGAACGTTGACAAAAAATTGTGGGGCATTAACTATTAATTCCCACGATGCATTTAATGAACTCTTTTTTGACAAATAATAAAAGGGAAATCTCCCCTTAAGCCTCTAGAATTATCTTAAATTAATATCTGAGCCCCTAAATTAAAAATGATATAATAAACCCTTAGACCCCTCAAAAAATGGAAATTAACCCTCATTATTAATAGTCCAATGCATTTCATCTCACATTGTCAGTTCTTTTCCTTCGCATGAACTTACTTTTTCATATAGATGTTGATGTAAATAAAAAAAAGTTATTAAGTAGTAAAAATCTTGTTAAAATAGTTCATGTAACTCTTTTTTTTTTTTTTAATTTAGTATTTTTAGACCACATAAATTATTTTTGTGAGATTTTTATTGTTTAAGAGATTTTTTATTTACATGAAAAAGTAGAATCAAGTGAAAGAAGAATGATAGATAATGTGAAGTCATATGTGTTAAGCCATAAATGATGAGGGCAGATTTGCATCTTTAGAGGGGTTTTAGGGCTAATTTACATACTTATAGGGATTCAAGAGACTTGAGGATTTATTTGCACTTATTTTTAATTTAGGGAATTACATGTTAATTTGGGATAAATTTGGGGCTTAAGAGATGGGGTTTTGCCAATGTAAAAGGCACCGAATTACTGAAAAAGACAGAAGAGTAGTGGGGAGGAATTTCGGTTTCAATTACAACACATTTTTTTTTTAAAGGATTTTTTTGACTTACGCACCTAAGAGTATTTTTAAAAAAAAATTTATAATACCCAAATGGGCAGGGGAATTTAATATATTTCACTATTAAACAGGTTCAATCGTGAAAATTTTGATATGGATGATTAGCTAGAATCCAAGATCAGTTAAAAATATGCATTTGGCACGAAGCTAAAATTTTATATTTGTTTAACTAGAAGAACCAGACTCGAATTTTAAGTTGAAATTATGGTTTTTTAAGTTCAAGCTTGTGAGCTTCAGATCATACTCTTGATTAGTTGAGCTCAAGGGGCTTGCAAGTAGCTCAGGCTTGATGATAATCTTTGAAAAATCCTTCAAATTGTCGACAAACGTTGGATTCAAACTGTTTCTGTAAGGGCAGGTTAAGGGCAAGTCCGAGATCATTGATCTCGGATATATTATGTACTTGTTGAGTTCAATCCCCTCACTAATTTGTTGACTTCGGTTACTTAATAA